CACTGGCCCTGACTACTGAGGAGGAATTTACCAGTTGGATTTAAGGTTGTAGCACAGATTAAAGAGTTGTAGATGACCATTAGTTTGTACAGTATTGGAGGATTTCACAAAAATACCATTAAGGGTTCAAAAACTTAAAAAATAGTAGTTATAAACTAGGCTACAATAAATATTATATTTGTGTGCAAACGTAAATTCATATTTATATTAAATGATACACAAACCCGTAGTAATGAGTGATATTTTTTATTAACAAATTATAAATTTAAAATTTTTTTTGGAATCTTTATTTTTACAATCCGAGTCAAGTTTATTTGTCATGGCTCAATAACAATAACATTTTCTCTTTATCAAATACCTGTTAATTATTATCTTCTTTTCCTCTACTCATTACTGTTCTAGACTCTTTAAATACCTAATAAGCCGACTTTGCTCATTTAGCTTTGGTTTAGTTGCATGTTAAAAATCTGGCAGCCGTGTAAAGAAGGAACAATGTAAAAAACTATACTTGGCTAAAAAAAAGGTGTCTACGAAAACCGAGTTGTATTTATTAATAAATTACAAGTACAATATAAAGGCTTGGAAAATTTTACTAAGTGGAATTGGTGGTTGTTTCAAAATAATATATAGACAGTGGAAATCGTAAGAATATTATTTTATAAAATCGAGCTTGTAATTGAAAATTTCCCGCTGATTTTAAAAAGTAAGCTAATTCAATTGTTATGGCAAATGACGATGAGTGGTGTGTAAACGCATACATAATACAGAAATTGTACGTTGTATATTAAAAATACAAAACGCACCCGCTATAATCCGAGACAGTTTTCATCCCAGTTCTAGGAAGAAACCAAAAGGTAAATTAAACGCGTAACCTATTAATTTGTTTGCTATGTCGGCAAGGAAGGTAAAAAATCCCGAAAGCAGTTCCCAGGTCCTAGCGACGCCGGTCGGGCGCGGTCTCGGGTCCACTCGGGCTCAAAGCTGATTATCCCATATTAACTCCGGCCCCAGATGATCAGTTGGGGAGATTTGGAGCAGCGGGCGGCCCCAAAACCCAGGTAAAGAAACAATTTGGGGCTCGTGCCCCCGGGCCAGGACTTCTGACGCCGGCAAGCCCTACCCCGGGGTCCGAAATCGCAAAATTAGCCCTTCGGATGCTTCTTTTACACATTCTTTTCAAACCACTACATTTATACGGCTGGTTCATTGTTTGATTTCAAATAAGGAAAAATTCAGTTGCAATTAAATTCATATTAAATTGTTGTACATCTAAATGAATGTATTTCAACTAACTATTGTTCAAAGATATTATTCACTAAATGACTAAAATGCGTATAAAATAATGGACTTTGACGATATGTTACACCATTTCACAAATCCCTCCTCAATAAAGAAGTTAGTTTGTTACATCTAACTAGTAAAAAAACTATTAAATGAAACTCGGTGGAATTGAAAAAAGACTCCTCGGAGTCGGATGAATCCCTCGCTTGATCGTTCCTAATATTTTTTTATTTCCATCGCATTTTTAGGTTGTTATAACAGATTCGGAAGCTTTGCCAAATTTAAATGCATTTTGACAGACAAGTATTATTTTAACATTAAAAGTACCGTCGATTAACACTTTAGATCCTTACAAGATTAGATAACAGTTTACCCATATAAACCTCCTACTAAACTAGAATTAAATATATGCGACAACCCATCCTCTCGCCTGCCTGAAGAGTGGATTGTCATAAAACCTTGTATATTTACCGAAACATTGCAGCAAAAACAATACCTAACTGTAATCGTAAAGGGACAAACGTCTACCTGTCGATTGTAAACGGGACAACACAAAGGGTGGTGCAAAGTAGACAAATACAACGGTACGACTCTGCAAGAAGTCGGCGGCATTTCAACCTTCAGCCAACAATATTTACATACTTTTGTCTCCAACCCACGACAGTGTAGGACCATATATCTTCTGTAGAGTCAAAATTCACGGAAGCATGCGGCCCCGCCGGGGTCCGAGATTAGGGCCTTCCCGGACTAGGATAATCAGAAAGGCTCGGTATTTGGGAATTCGGGCTGACCTCTTTATTCCAAACGTTTTGTTGTGTTCCTGGTACTGTATTTTGAATACTTGACTTTGACACCTTTGTCTTTACTAGGGTGCAAATGTGTTTTAGAAATGCAAATACTATGTAGCTTGTTTATTGGATTATAGAGTTGGCATATTCTTTTAGGTCAATGCTTCTTCGCTGTGAGAAACTTATCTCTCCTGTAATTTGAAACTAACCAAAGGGTCCCGATAGTATTAAATATTCCGAAAAATATTTGACAATACATACAATTAGTTATCAATTTATTTTAAAATAAGCACGAGATAATTTGAACCTCTTTTTTTATGAAATACCGTAGCCTACTAAGTACACTTCAAAATACTATTTTCAATCATGTTATGTAGCTTTAAGTTGACGTTTAAAATAAGTACTTTAGGATTAATCAGCTTAGTCTTGTAGGTAAAGAAGTTAAATTAAATCTATTATCGTGTAGGTTCATTGAGCGTTTTACTCAGGATTTATGATAATTAATAGAGTTTACCCGTATCTACTTCACATTACAGCTTACAATCTCAATGCACACATTTCATGGACGACTGTAATTGTTTTACACTCCATACCACGTCCAAGGGTATGCCACATACCACCACTAGTGTACACATCTTCGTAGCTACGCGAACGCGATTATTTGCAAACCATCAACTTTATGAGCCGATAACGAGCGACAAGATGTCTGCGTTAATTGTAATTACCAACCAATTACAATGCGTCCGACAATTAATAATTAACAATGTAAACACACTGCATACAATTATGCGACTTCTGTATGCATTTAAATTAGATATTAGACCGACGACGACGCATGAAAATAAGTTGAGAAATTAACATATGACCTGCTGCTGCTAGTATGTGAACGGTTTTAAATTACTCCATTACAAGTTAATTAATTACTTAGGTTAATTAATGATTGATCCTGAGGGAAATAGTGTAACTAGTTGGCAAATAGAGGAAAATAAAGTGTCTTGGTTGATACTACGGAAAATTGTAAAAGTTCTATATCAACTCTTAAACTGTAAGTTGATAGTAAATATGAAAAAAAATTCAAAATTGTTTGATTAGTTTAGTTAAATATTGTAAAGTATTTAACGCGCAGATAAAATTAATTTAATGCATCTAAATTTTGTTTGGAATAGTTAGATTTGTTCAGTGAATGATAAGAAATTGTAGCATTGTTTTAGAACTTTTGGAGGTGAAATCAAGTTGGCTGTAATTAGAACAATTAGAACATTATCTCCTGGATGAGTATGAAACTATCATATCTGTCTTCTTCAAACAACATTAATCTGATCAATTGATTATGATAGCACTACGTAGTCCTCCAGATTATCATTTACTGGTATTTATCAACACTTTTTAAAAAAGAGTCTCTTCACGTTGCTCTCAACCAAAACTCGCAGAAACATTATATCAATGGAAAATTCATACGGTTTTAATCGAAAATGATCGTTTCATAAAATTTGTCATGTAGTTCACTCATGGTAGTTACTTAGTTTTAAATTTATATGATAAAAGCTTATTTATATAATCATGGCTAATTTTATTTCTCAAAAAGATTTGCAAAAATATATTTTTCAGTAGGCCTATCCAAAACTGTTTCTCACCGAATAGTGATGTCACACTAATAAAATAACGCAATATGGTCAATACACTACTTCTCATAGACCGTCCCAAGTGCTGATGATAAGTTTACGGTGTTTTTCTGCGGATGCATCGAAAGAGTTAATGTAATGTTTGACAAACTCACCACATTTTTTAAATAAAAACCCAGCCTAATATTAACAATAATCGCAATCCTATATGATTGTGGTTAAAAGCGCCTCTATTAAATATAGGTATGTAGGACACTTTGGAATATAGGAATTACTTCAATTCACTCTCTTGTTAAAATAAAACGCAGTTAAAATTCAAAACAATGCAATTATTTAGTTGACATGTTTTAAGTCATACAATGGCAATTCTGGAATGAAATGCAAACTCAGCCCCTAAGAAAAGCGAGAACCCGCAATTCTCTACATCTTATCTTTTGACCCGTTTTCGTATCTGCTAGTGTTTTTATTTTGTGCTTGTAAAAATATTGTGTCTATTTCGTTATGACGAAATCCATCCCTGATTTAAGTAACATACGAAGAAAGAGGGAAAGAGGTAATCTTGTCAAAAAGTCGCTTGCAGAAAGCTTGGAGATAAAGACTTGAGTTTGCATACGACGGATAAACAAAGATTATAAAACTCTATACAATGGTCATATGTATTACAAGACGAATTGTCTTTGTTATAAGGCCTACTTATAATTATACAGTTATTTATTATTTGGGTCAATATGTTTACCTGTTTACTTACAAATGATTCCAAAGCATGTTTCAAACAATTAAGTTTCTTACAAAGCTGTTAAAGGGTGGCTTATGTCTACACATCAACAATAATCTGTTTATAATTAAATTCCTCTAAAAGTATTTGTGTTTATAACTAACTTCTTAATCAAACTAAATTTTAAACTCATAGTAAAGAAAAACTGTGTTTAAAATTGTTATTAACCTTGTTATAGGTAAAAATAGGCTATATTTATGGAATATTTTCTATAATGAAGACCTTGAGTAAACACTCTATAGTTTAAATTAATTCCAACATTTAAACTATACTGTCAACAATCTTTTAAGGTAATATACTTTAAAATTATTGATTTAAAATAAAGTAGGCCTAAAGACAACAACTATAAAAGTCTGAACTTAAAAGACACGTGTTAAGTTTAACAGCCGCGGTAATTTATGTTCTACTCTTAAATATTTCAAATTATTTAACACTAATTTAAAAATACAAAAAATCTTCAAAACAACTTCAAAATATCACTACAAATAAAATCAACCCCTAATTAAATTTCTGAGAAAATTTCAACAAACTGACCTGAGGTCCATTTTCAGCAGTCTTGGTATTCGCGGCAACCCAGGCTTCAGCAAAAGTCTCCATCGCACTTTGAAAGTCCATGTTGATCAATGAGAGTCAGTTTGGTCGCGGCACATACTGCGTGTGGCACGTGAGTGACGGGGCGCACGACGCGTTGTTCACCCCACGACGGCTAGCAAGCGACTGAACCTATCTAGCGAGTAGCAGAGACGCGCCGACACTGTATATACCGCGCGCACCCGGGCCCACCCCTGCAGTTTTTCAAATTTTAACTTGTCCGCGGGGCGGGCCGCGCCTGCTCGCCGACACCGGGGGGCGGATGATAATATTAACACCGGGGGCGGCGCCCGTTTATTTTTATTAATCCGAAAGAACCTGAAGGAGGGGCTTAATCCCGCCAATGTCCGACTACGCGGCTAAGGATAGGAAATTGGGCGATTTTGGTACTGGGAGTAAGTGGAGTTGTCACCTCTCGGATGTTAAAAAGTGTAGTTTCAAATTTGAATTTATTTACTAGTATTGGTACACAGATACATAACATATACGTACGTTATGAGATGAATGCATAAGAAGTTACCATCGAGTGTTTTGAGTCAGATGAATTTCAAGTAAATTTTTCACGTTTGTGGAGTTAACAGTAATGCAGTGGATGCTGTTATTTATTTTCTACAATATAATTAAAACATACATAGGCCTATTATAGTATGTACAATATTTTGAAGATGTGTAGAGAATTGCCATAGATTGATTTGAGTTCGGTAGATTTTAAGTAAACTTGCCACCTTTGGTAAGTTTTATACTAATGTAGTTGAAATTGTAATGTATATAAAGGGTGTTTCCAAATTCTCTGGACATATTTGGTGAACTTGTTCCTTGGACTAAGACAAACATAAAATGCCAAATAGGTATGGGTCTAAAATGCCTAGATTTCTCTTTATCAGTCTGTTTATGATTTTTCAGAATTATATCTTGGGCATTTCAAGATAGAAATTCCAAAATTTTTATAAATGTGCTATAGTAGGTAAAAAGAGCTTATAAAGTTTCGTTCCAATATTTCAAGCCGTTTCAATATGGTGGCCATTTAAAATCATTAATGCAAAATTTCATGAAAACCGTAAATATTAAAAAAATAGATAGAGAATTTAAATCCAAATCAAATGATACCATGTTTGTTAAAATCGGATGACAAACAACCAAGTTATTCGTTTTTTTTCTACATTCGGTTACGCAATTTAATAGGACTATTGTTACTGGTTTGTAAAATAACAAATAATACACAACAACACAACAATATGGTAAGTAACAATATGGAAGTCCACATATTGTACAACAAACAATATGTGAATAGGTAAAATATATAATAACCAAGGATTTACTCTATCCTACACTAAGAATAATTTCACTGTAGAACCTTCTCATTAAACTAAACCGGAGTTTAACAGACTTGATTGTAAACCCCATTGTCGAGTTTATTATGATCACCTCTGAGCAAGTTAATAAACAATATAAGACGATTCTTGCTCTCCCATCTAATGTCAGGTAGCCGTGTCCTCAATAAAAACACTGTTTTATCATTGATAATTAATTATCGGACATGAAATTATGCTACCCTTGACTCGACACAATCGATATAAAATTATAGATAAAAATGGTTTTCATGAGGAACATATCGGTAAATGGTTATTTATTTTTACCATGAGACCTACGGTAATAACTACTTCCCTATAGGGAAATTCGCTAAAAGCATTAACAAGTTATAAGATTAACTAAAAACAGCACTATTATTTTTTTGCATTTATGAAAACAGCTAATTTGAACTAAGCAGCAACAAAAACTGTGATACGCAATGAGAACTGTCAAATTCGGATTATTTACAGTTATGTTTATGTTTTCAATTTCATAAATAATTTGTGAAATTTTGCAAATTTTTAATAATTTATTTTTATCAATTGTTTAGGTGAAGTGGTAGAACATTATGACTATGGTAGATGTGTAATACTATAGTATACCGTAAATTTAAAGAGGAAAATTGTATTAAACTGTATCCTCCCCCATTACAAACGCAATAACTGCAATAAGCATTTTATACTTATATGCCAACCCCGTACGAAGGGCGGGTACTCTGCTAGTTATACCATAGTAACACACATACAAAGCTCCTGACATAGGTGTGGATGTAATGAAATGTTGGGCATTCTATAATAGAATAGACAGAACTCGGCCGTCATTCACACGCACTAGAACCAAGTACAAAGGAGTGTTTGGATTCGAACGGTCACTTTTTACATTATTAAACCCTAACGATCGCACTCTGTTTTATATCTTTTTAATGTCCGACTTCTTTATATTTTAACCCATTCGGTTTTAGGATCTCGGGTTATGGTTATGGTCTGGACTTGGTAATCTACTTTCTAAACCCAGCAATAATTCCAACCGTCGTTAAACCCAAAGTCATCTTTCTACAAATATATTACGACTTCATCAAGATAGGTTTATAGGGGTTTTTTTGTCAGCTGAGAGATCGATTTGTTTTGTTTCTAGACAGCTCACCACGGATGCTATGTTCATCTGAAAAGATTGAATCCACACTTACAAATTGCGAACTTAACATTTCTCAATATTTTACTGAGCATTATTTTGTCAACTTGAATTTGCGTACGGCAGTGTTGATTGGAGAGAAACAAGAGGTTTACTGCAGTTTAAGAAGCAGAATATGATACAATATCTAACTCACTGGTTGCATTTAACATTAGAAATGGTTATATTTTTTCATCAAATATGTTGGATAGTTATTGTATGTCTTTTCATGCTGGGAAACCTCAAATACTAGTCATCATTGTACTTAAGTGTTGAACAGTAAAATTAATTTAAAACATTGCATGACTACTTTTGCTATAAATAATCTGGCGTAAAATGGCCGTTTCATTTTCATTCCATTTCAGAAAGATAAACATATCTTATGTCCTTTTGCATAATCTTAGTGTCTTAGATTCCTTATAAGAACTGATTGACAAAATGGCATGCAAAATATTGAGATATTTACCATGAGAAAACAAGTTATCACATTCTTGATTGTGTTTACTGATAGTTGCTTGTATAAAATGCATCGTTAGACAACTAATTATCGTTATAAAATAACGACTATCATCTACTGCACTTAGATGCACCTAACATCGGCCATTAACATTGTTTGATCTTCCCTTGTACTAAATATGTTAAGGATAAGGTTTAACACTTTATAAAATCAAAATTGTACCATTGTTTACTCTTTAGGGGTGCGGATTTTGAAAAATTTATTGCATCTTTGTCATCAGCTTGTTTCTAACAACAGTCTTTAACGATGATTAAATAACATTGTTGAGAAAACCCATCAAAATATCTAACAACCACATATAATTTTAAATCCGTTCATTTTTAGACCACGTTCGATTTAAAACCAAAAACTGAAAGATACAGTTTGGAAAATAGTTATTGTACTGTATGATGATAGGAGGTTAGACTATTTTTCATATTCTCTACGAATATAACAATGGTGTTGCACAGAACATATTAATGTTCTAATTTGCGATTACTTCATTAAATAATTATCCATCAAGATGTTTATGGAAAATTACATTGTAGGAAGGACTACTTGAAGCAACTACGAATTATAAAAGTGTTAAGAACAACATCCCGTTATGTGAAAAAGCAGCCTACTGAACAAGCCTAAATAGCAATTGATTTTTTAGTGTACGGTACAATAAATTATTATTCTATGACAATTTTGCAAAAAGTTGTAAAAATTATCCATTTTACACGCCCTTTGATGGTATTACTTTTTAAAAGGGTTCACAAATGGAAACTTTACAGCAACAATATATTTTACCCTTTATGCGTTCCTACGTCCCCAGCCCGCCTCAACCCTAGCTAACCCCCTCTTCGCACCTAGGAGTGGTATACCTGATCCTTGTAAAATAGAAAGTTTTACAACTCTTTTGTCCCAAAAACTGAAGATTTCAAAAACCCTTTAGAGGAAGCGCTTGCCGCCCTGACTCCGAGAAAACTTTACAGCCTTCGGCTTAGACCCTTTAGCCCTTCAGACCCTAGGGGCGTCCTTCGAGGATATAGGATGACAGATTTTGACAACTCCTTGTCTCAAGTTGTAAATTATCTTCACATGTTGACGTAGGAAGACAAGCTAAAAGCCTCGAGGTATCTAAAATCTTTGCGAAACTAATGCTAATACTGGTGATGTTAATACTTTAATACTTTTCAATGAAATGGCGACCATACAAAGTAAGTATTTTAAGCCAAGTATGAATGGAAATAAGTGTAGGATGAGTGGTGCGCTCGTAGTCTTGTTAGTGACTAAGGCCATCATATTCCTTAGACACAGCTGTAATTAAAAACCCATACAGCTAATGGCAACTAAGGAACCGAATCATATTTTTACTAGCCTCTTTTAGCTTGTTATGTTAGGTAGTCTAAAATATGAGTATTTACTGCAGAGATTCATGATTTTGAGGTGTTTCGGATATTTTCAAAGTCCAAAAACTTTTACATCCAAGGTGAATGAATTGACAAAAATGATGTTAAACTTTTGTTCTCAAATCATTAATCTATTTTAGTCAATATTGTCAAACGAAAAACAACCCATTTTGTTGGACACACTAGCGGAGAATCAAGTTTTAGAAACATGAAATACCCCAATAAGGGTTGAGATAGAAAATTACTTGTGCATTGCGATTCCTGCTAATACCACAATTATCTTCCATTCATATCTCGGATAAAAATTCGTTGCGTCCCCAACCCAAATAGTAAAAACTATGCACTGCTAGTTGAATCCCTCAACACTTACTTCATAGCAATCAAATGATTTGGTTAAGCAAACGTACAATTTTGAGAGGATTTTGAGATTTATAAACGAAAGCGTTAATCATAAAATATGCCTAAGACAGTTATAAATGTAGCCTACATGTATTACCCTCCTTGTTGCAGCAAACCTAAGTACTCGTTAAACTTATTTTATTTAAATAGGGAATAAATGTGATATTTTTCAGGAGACATTTTAGTGTAAATTCGATCAGGCAAATGGAAATTCGCTTGGTCTGCAGGTTTGCTGCGGCAAGGGTATTTTTACCATTTTGTAGTTTACAGTATACGATCTGGCAATAAGAAGCAAGCATTTCACGACAACGTTAACTACTTATAAAAAGGTCAGATCTATCTCAGATCTGCCAATGAACCGTAAACGATCAG